TAGAAAAATTTGGCTGTATGCTCAAAAAGAGTCTTGTGTACAAGGAATGGCAAGCCAGGGCAATGTCCGTTAGTGAGAAGGTGCATTTATTGTGTGCCAAACAAAAAAGGGCAACATAGTTTTCACATTTTATACTATGTACAAGCATCAAACTCTACTTTGGCTGGAGGCTTTTTATACCAGTTGGCTCGTCCCCTTGGTTCATACCAAACAAATTGCCCCATTAATTAAACCCTGTACCCCGCCTTCGCCGATTGCCGGCAGGTGAGAGGAGAGTGGAATACTGGAGAGTACAAAGCCAGAAAATGGAAAGCCAGAGAATGCAGACCTGGGGAACGGAGAGCCGGAGAGTGCAGAGCTGGGGAACGGAGAGCCAGAGAGTGCAGAACTGAAGGCAGGGCAGGTAGGCAGATGCACTGCATCAATGCAGACAATCCAGGTGAGTCCGGCAGGTGAGTCCGGAGATAACGAGGAACAGGTGGAGGCCATGAGTGGTGATAATTAAGCTGGAGTTAGTGAAGTGGCAGGAGAGATGTGGAATCCAGGGAAAAAGCAGTAAAACAGGAAGCAAAGTCCATACCATAATCACCTTTATTTGGCCAAGTACAGTATGTTACACACAAGGAATTTGTTTTCGGTACTGAACCAAGGCAGCCATTTGCAGCGCCAACTCAACCTATGGCTGTAACCATCAGGGGCAACTTGGGGGTCCAATGTTTTGCCCAAGGACCCTTTGGTTGGGAGATGGCTGCTCTACCCACTGAACTACAGTCAGTCACCCCATTTGGCCAAGCATGTTACACACAAAGAATCTGTTTCCAGTACAGAACCGGCCCAAGAACACCGACATGTGGACTGCTGGAATTGTGATTCGAACCTCCAACCCTCCAGTTGGGAGACAACTGCTCTACCCACTGAACCACAGTCGCCCCCGTAGTTCCGTCTCCTGGCTGCAAAAATCAGTTTAATACACGGTTCCCGGGTAGGGGATGTATCTGATATTAAACATATAAGAACAGATACTACACTCAATCTTAGCCAAAAGGTCAAGAAGTGGCCCATAACACCTCTCATACCTGTGTTGCATGACATTTAAGTGTACAATATCCATCCATCCATCCATTTTCTATCACTCAGTCCCTGAACGGGGTCACGGGGGGGAGCTGGAGCCAATCCCAGCCAGCAATCTGGCGAAGGCGGGGTACACCCTGGACAGGTCGCCAATCCATCGCAGGGCTAACACATAGACGAACAACCACACACACGCACACTCCTATGGGCAATTTAGAGACACCAATCAACCTAAGCTGCATGTCTTTGGACTGTGGGAGGAAGCCGGAGTACCCGGAGAGAACCCACGCAAGCACGGGGAGAACATGCAAACTTCACACAGAAAGGTCCCGGGTGAAATCAAAACAAGATTGACATAAAAACAATGGGTACAGGTACACAAAAGAGAAAGCATTTAAGCTCGCACTGGCTTGTCCTCTAACATGTCGTCAGTGCTTAACCACTATAACAATTAACACATACTGTACTGATCTACTATGTAAAGGGATGGATGCAGAGACAAATGGTAGAATATAAATTATGAACATGATGACAGCTTGTTGTTGTCAAAGGACTGAAAGAAGGTGAGGCCAAGTGCTGTGTTGTGAGAGACATTATGTATACAAACACCCAAACAAAATCTCTTCTGAAAGCACACAAAGGTATTAGTTATACTGAGTTACAGGGTCAAATTTGGGATAGTTATCTTCACATCTATCATACATGCCCTGATTTTTACATTTGGGCTGATGACAGTGTCTCTAAACACCCATGTGTAAAACACCTAGGGTGTGACAAGGAATTTGCAGCCATTGTGTTGACATGAGGCACCATGTATAAAACCAGTATTTCCAGTGGAACACTGTCAGGTGGGATTCCATCCTTTTTTAGGGAATCCTTTTTCACAGCTATACCATAACAGATGCAGATAGTTGTTGATCCACCTTAAAAGTACAAAGTAATCTCTAAAGTCTGCATCAGTTTAGTTTGAACTAAAGGAATTTTTGCGTCAAGTAAGGTAGCTCAACAATAGGTGAGAAAAGGTAACCCACAACACAATGAAGACTGAGGTTACATCTCCAGAGGTACTTCCTGCTTGACCTTATACAGATCCATGCACTCCATATACCAACATTCACATATTTTTGACAAAACCTATTTATTGCAGTGGAATTGCCCAGTCAGTGGATTTGCTTGTTGGGATGAAGTATATCTAAGATAAGTTTTTATATCAAGTTCAATTTTGCTGAGATTTGACACTCAATTTTGCAGCTGTGACCAACAGCAAGTTATCCTGAGGGAACAGAGAGCTCAAAATGAAGGAAGATATTGCCCTGTATATTAGATTTTTTTGTAAATAACAGGATAATTTAACCTACATAATTCAGACCAAAGAGACTGAACAACTGGTGTGTGTAGTCATGTGCATAACAACTTCACAGATTGCATTCTGGCCTTGGCCCTTTAACAGTGTTCAGTTTGCACTGCAAGTGTTTAATCCGTCTCATGCGGTTACAATGGAAACCAGTAGCACCCTGCTCCCTAATGACGTTTCTGGCTCACTAGAGAAGGACACTAACAATGCTAGAGTCTGGGATTACATTCACTTTCAAGGCAAAACAGTGCACTGCAGCTGCCAGAATTACAGACCCACATTTAACACATGCCCAGTGTTGGGGAATCAATCGTTGTGTTGCTCTTTGTCCTTGTTCCACATAATGTCTTCGGTAAATACACTTATTCGGTTTAGTGTTTTTTGGGAATTGTGAAACAGCTAGCCTGGTTTGGTCCAAAACTAATAAAATCACTTTTTAAAGCATTGGTGGTTTGTTTCTCGATGGGAAATCTGCCTGATTATATTTTCTACTATACTGTAGAGTTGAAGAATATGAGCTGTGTTGTAATATATTCTTTACTTAATTCTATCAGATTTTATTTATTGTAATTGTCTTTTTGAACCTCAGAATTTTATATCTATTTTTTGATGATGTGGTATTTACTGGCTTCATCAGACCATGACCTCCAGCATGCACTGGGGTAGTTTGCAGCTGAGTGTGAAGAGAAGGGGAAAAGAATTAGCATCTTCAAACCTGATGAACCTGGCTTGCCACCTAGAAGACTACTGAAGTTGAGCACATCTCCCTGCAGTTTTGAGTGTGTTAGCTACAGTAGAATACCACTGGCAAGTCGGGAGATAAAGTATGAAAAAGCTCTTTTATTTTTCATGACTCACTAAGGCTGTATATGAAAACATTAATATCAATATCATCTGCATTCTCAAGTGTTTACAGTGGGCTCTGCTGAGAGTTATAAGCCAGTAACACAAACAGCGTCATGCTCCAGGTCACACTAATTTAATAACTTATGCCTTGAATATTGTTGAAATGACAATACTGATGCTTGTTTTTAATGTGCTATTTATCTGAGCTGCCATCCTCATGACAGAGTATATGTGGTTTGTCTCTATACAGCCTGGAGTTTTAATAGCCTCGAGAATTAACATCCATTATTGACTTGGTGGCAACAATCTGAATGTTTGAAGTGATGAAAAACAAGTAAATGATAAAATTACATATGCTAGACAAAGTATTACATGACCCTAAATGACACTGGCCTTCTAAGTGTTCTCAGGTATCACTGTAACTTTGCAGCAACAAAACAAACATTTGAATGCTCTCCTCCAGTGCAGAACAACTTCCAGACATTAGAAAATAATCATATTTTGCCCTCAGTTTCTGAAAAGCTGACTTTTTGCAGATAGCAGACCTCTCTGGCTCACAGTAACACACTTAGCTCTGTGGTAGGAATACGCAGCTCACAGGCTGACTGCCAGTGCTAATATTCTTGTCAAGCAGAGAGAAAAGTATGTCATATCTGCCTTGTATGGTCAATGACTTAGCATGTAGCTTAGAGACTGCACTGAGCTAGAAAGTAAGGGATTTGTGTATGGAGATGTTCTCTCTCCCTCTGTCTATCTCTCTCTCTCTCTCTCTCTCTGTGTGTGTGTGTGTGTGTGTGTGTGTATGTGTGGTGATGGGATTATTGTATACTTGTCTGTGCATATCAGAATGTGTGTGGCAGGGTTACTGGAACAGTGTTGGAATGTGGGGGTGTCAGCTATTGTTTCCACTTCTTTTCCTACCACATTTCATTTTGAGATTTCCAGTTTATGTGATTGTTTCTGGGGTTAATATAACTAAGATGTCCAAAGAAATGGCTTGACTAGAGAGAGAAAGACCACCTCTGCCAACTCAATGATAAATGCTGGCTTTTTGTCAGGGTTGGCGAGTAAAGCTGCCAACAATGTGGAGGGCGAACTCAATTAAATTGCCAGACAAGGTTGAATAAAACACTGTCTCTTTACTGAGCACAACTCACAGCATTCAGTGCAGAAGTCCAGAAACACATTCAAATCGAGAATATCAGTCCAGGGTCAGCACCAGCAAACACACACACAGCCGAGGGATCCACAAACAAGAGGTCGAGGAGGGAAGTCCGATAATCGATACACGGTAGACAGTCAGAATCAGGAGGGTAAGGCAGTACTCGGTGGTGAAAAGGCAATCTGGGGTCAGAACAGGAATATTAAAGCATGGAAAGAGATTGTGTTTTTTCCCGCAACTGAAGAAAAAAGCTAATGAAGCGATTGTATTAAAGCTAATGGAATGTAGGCTGTCAGGGTCGGCGCTGTAAAGCTGCCGATGATATCATGGGGTGAACTCAATTATAGAGCCAGACGAGGATAAGTAAAACACTGTCTCTTTAATAAGTGCACTGGTAACAAAACTATACAGAAAACTACGTAAACGTGAAACACACTTTCAGGTCGATAATACAGCCCAGGGTCAGAGCCAGCAAACTTACACAGCCGAGGGATCCACAAATGAGGGGAGTCCGATAGTCAATACACAGAAAAACACGAGCAGAAACAGACGGCTAGGCAAAGCTCGATGGCCAAACAGAAATCCGGGGTCAGAGCTGGAATTACAGGAACAGGTAAAATGCTGGAAAGTCTGAACAGGAGTTAGAACAATCTGGCAGCTTTCCAGTGGAGGAAAGCTGCTTATAATGGGGTGAAAACAGGTGTAAACAATGAGTGTTGATTAAAGTAAAAAGTCCTGCTGCAGTCTCACCTTAGCGTCAGACTCTTTACCCTAATCAGCTTTTATTGTTTGCACCTGTTTTTACCCCTTTATAGGCAGCTTCCTCCCACCGGGAAACTGCCAGATCATTCTAGACTCTTGTTTAGACTTTACAGCGTTTTTCTTGTTATTTATGGAAAATTGCCAACTGTTACTGAACTGACGATTAGAAGCTGCTACTGCTGATGCTGAACCAGCGTTCGAATTATGAGATGGTTCCTTTAAAACGAGACCTGAACTCTCCAAAAAGAAGCAACAAAAACTCAAGTTTGGGGAGTCTCAAATAATCAATAATCCTAATCAGTTTTGTTATATAAATTCTAATAATATAACAAACTAAATACAAAGTAAAAAAAAAATTAAAAACAAAAGTCAACTTTTTCTGTCCCACACTTCTCCGCCCAGGTTCACTAGTGCCCAATTGATCTTTGCAGTACCTGCAGTTTTCAGAGAGAATATGAGACTAGTCCATTTCACTTTGAACAGTGTCAAAACCGAGGCAACATTCATGGCCTGAAGAAACATATGACATCACACACACCTAAACTAGATTGTATTATGCCTTTTACACTCACTGATGTTATCCACCTCATGTCAGCAGCACATAAAACTGACAGCATGTGCAAACAGTGCAGCAGTCTGCCCGGCTGAATGATTGATTGGAACAAAGGCAGGATACTTTTTTAGCATGGCAAATAAGCTGCTTTCATGTGTTATTTTGTGTCCTTACATATAATTAGCTATTGTACTGCACAAAGTATTAATCATGTCTTATAAGCACCCCACTTGGTCACTGGATAAGACCCCTCTAAAAACACAGCGTAATTCAAGCTAAACCCTCAACTAGTTCAAGAGAAAACATCTGTAAACACATGCTCATGGTTAACATCAGCACCGTGACCTCAAAAGTTCTGAATCTGATGACGTTCTCTAAGTATCTGTGTGGGTTATCTTCAAGTTTCATAGTTTCTTCCTTCACTAAAACATGTATGTGAGGTGAACTGAAAAATCAAAATTGTAATACTGTAATTGTATTGATACATAAGCAACCTCTCCAATGATAAGGCAGTGTCAATCTCCCTGGGACCCTGAACAAGCTAAGCGGTTTAGAAAATAGATGAAATACATAAATTACAATAACTTTCAGTAATTCATTACATATTTTTAATTCAGCAACAAAAATCACTTTGGCAGAGCACTAGGTGCCATTTTTCAAATAGTTGGAATGAAACTTCTCATTCTTGTCTTATCTGAAATAAAGCCATTACGCACTTGGCCATAACTCTTCTTCCTATTTGTCAAAATGTGAATATCGATGGCCATAAAGTTATTCATGCCTGCATGGCATATCATCTTTATTTGAGAGAGAAATGAAATCCTATTCCCTCCGACTCCCGGGAGAAAAATAATATGTCATGCCTCCCTCCCATCCATTTCACCATATCAGCTGAATAAATTTGTATGAGAGATTGGAATCCTTGTATTTGATGCAGCTGAAGAGGTCAGTTAAACTAAATGCGAGTAATATTATCCTTTCCTAGTATAAAAGTACACTTTTGAATTTGTTGCATCGGTTGTACAGCCATATATTTTATTTGAATGCTCAGGTATTCTGGATTTAAATCTAGACCCAATTTACAAGAAAAAGCTATATTGTGAGATCTAGTGTATAATACTTTGTAGAGTCCATATTTGATAGGTTTAAGGTCTTTTTTATGATTTCATTGCCTTCATCTGGATTTTCTCTGTCATAGTAAGATTGACTTATCTTTTTACCTAACAGTATGACTGTGGAAGGAAATTCCCATTTTGCAACAATTCCCTTTTCCCTCAATCTCTGCCTTTCACGTGAGTCTTTGATATCTCTTAGAAGCTCTCTAAGGCAGTTGACCCACAGTATCTCATCATTGCCAGGATGTACTAGATCACCCCATACTGATATACAAATTTTGTTAATGAACAAGCCACTCAAACATTGCAATTCTTTTACTCCCATGTCATTTTAAACTAACAGCCTGAACCCCAATCTTATGGGGAAGAAGAACAAAATCATCGAGTTCCTTCTCAAAACTCATCAGCTGTCTGGGGATATGGCTGTGTTGTTCCTCCGACTCATTTTAATGTTTGTAAACTCACCAATATGCTGCCACTTTAATGAAAGGTTGCTTAAACGGTGACTTGCTCATTTCTTGGCCACTTAGAGGGCACCAGAGACAGGGTGTAAAGAGAACATTACCATATTATCAATTTTTAAGTTAGGCTAAGTGTATTAGTCAACAATTGTCTATTTATAGATTCAGCAGATACAGAGCAGCACCAGCGTTCATGTGAAGTTATTTCATTTGATGAACATCAGTCCAATAGTCACTCTACTAGTACCTTTGTGCTAGCCCCCATCAACTCTTGAAGTAAATATCTATCTGTTTAGCTGCTAAATACTCCACATTTTTTACAAGCTAGTTGACAACTTTGTTTGTATACTGTTTGCTACTGGCCCAATAATTATCTGAACTTTAATAATCTTTAACATAAATTTTGAATGCTTTTGTTCAACGAGCAGTTTTCGCAATACATCTTTGTCAGTGTAAGTTTATGTACATGTGAGAATGTGTTACACAGACTAACTGTGTAAGCAAAAGTACAGTACATCATGCTTCCCTTATTGTGTAATGCAGTTGAGTAAAATAATTTATTTATGTGTCTATAGGGCGCAGCCATAATGTTCAGGTGTGTGAAATACTGGCTGTCAGCAAGGCCGAAGAAGACAACACAAAGACCAGGAGTAAGAAAAAGGCTGAACACTCTCAGCAGTATCCCCATGAATTCACAGGTAAACAAACAAACACAAACCCACCAAAAACAAACAAACAAAATAAACCCCTCATTGATACGGTACACATTCTTAAAGTTATATTCAACTGATTTTACATGTCAAAGTCAATTTACCTGCTACTGTTTAGCTTAGGAAATCAGTTGTACATTGTCTTTGGTAGCTCTGGAGGAGCTTTGTCAGCTCAGAAAATGACAAGTTGCATTATGTAGGATTCAGTGTTTTGGGGCCTTCACCAGTAGTAGAGACTAAAGGCTCTTGTTATCTGCTTCACAAAGTGTTCCATCTTAATGGAAGTGCAATACTAAATGGCTGAAGTGCCCATTTAAGCAATAAATGCAGCACCTTTTGTTCCTTCCAACAACATAGTCTGAAGCAAGTTTTCACTACTGTCACTTTCATTTTAATGTAGTGGGTTAATGCTATATTACAGTTGCATTTTGGGCCAAGAGCCTGAGTTCAGCTCCACCAATTACAAATGATCTGACATTGGAAATAAGCCCATAGGCAGCACCACGGTCTGAAAGTAATGCATTAACAAGAGAGTTTCTCACAGCTTAGCTGAGTGTGTCGTGTCTAAGACGGCAGCATCCCATGACTTATGGGCTAATGCTTGATTTTGAGCCATTAGATTATATCCAAACAAGATCAGATATACATGATTCATTGCAGTCAGCTGTTAAAAATTACCTCACTAATGTGAGCTTTAACTGGCATTAAAATGTGTCAAGTCTGACTTGAATGCATTCCCAAACTTGGCTTCCAAGACAGGCCCCATCACTTACACCCAGGTTATTCCCATTCTGAATGTCTCTCTGTCTACCCCACTATAAGTCTGACATGCAGCAATAGAATTGGACTGAAGAACTTGCCTGAAAAGTTAACTTCTATGTTTGATGAAAAAAAAAGCTTAATGTGATAATTTGACTTTGAAATGCATATTGAGTGAATCTGCTGTCAAAGTGCTGAGCTAGTGAATTTTTGGTGCTTAATGTAAATATTTCAGTAATATCCCTACCAGGATATTATGTGACTATCTCTACTTTTTTGTCTCTCTATCAGCAGAGCCCTGTTTTACTAAACTGACTACCTCTTCATTTCACTCATGCCCTCATTTCCTACTCCTCCACATATCTGATTGACCTGACTAGTAAGAATAAAGCCAGGGTTCATTTTCAGGTCAAACTTGCACTGTACCCAAGCCAGGTAGTGCTGCATGTAGCCAGTGCAAAAAGAATGAATGAACAAAGTATGATACCAATTTACTGTCTGCCCTGGAGCCCAAAAGCACTCACCAAATCACAAACTATGATAGGTGTTCATATCCAGGAAGGTATTTTTAGATTGTGGGTGGCAAATGCTGTATAATGGAAAACATGACCAGAGGCTTCATTTAGCACATTGTCTTATTTCTTAAAATCAGATTAGGAATTCTTTTCTATCGCTGATATAGCATCTTTCTTCCTTTGACACTCTTTTCCTGTTCTTGGATGATGGGTTGGTTGGCAGTGTAAAAGAAAGGTTAAAGGGTCAGTCCCTGTAACAGACAGTACAGTGAGCAGTGTGACCTCTCCTTTCTGTATTATTTCTCTGCAGTTTCTTACATGATGAGGACAAGGCAACACCAGTGGCGATGTAGTGATGTCACCTTTCACTGTCCCAACCAGGGACTCTGTGAGCAGTGGATCACAGTTATCAATGAGCAGCTGTCACTACTCAGTATGTACTGGACTCTTTAATTATATTCTCTAACAAATTTAATGATGGATTTTGGACTTGATCAGAACTTAACTTCATCAGAATCAGTTAATTGTCTTTTATTTAATCTTTTTTTTCTTTTTAATTTGACTTTTATGTACCATAAACTGCTACATACTACAATATGAATTTGGCTTAGTGAGTGCTTACACAAATACATATAAAAATGAAGTACACACAGTTATTAAGCTGCGCTACTCTGAACCAAGGGGTAAATGAAATTGCTGCTTGCTGTAATTTGTCTGTCATGCTGAGATTGGACTGGAAGAAGCTGTGCTGAACAATACAGTGTATTTTGCATAGAGCACCTTGGCACATGCTGTTCTGTGAGGATCAGGCTTTTTGATTTTTCAAGAGTTTATAACATCTAGCAGCAATTATGTATGTGGTATATACAAAGCGATCTTTTTCCTGAGTGGTTTCTGGATATGTATTATAGGTCACTGTTCCTCCATTTCCCTCATCATACCAATGATCTTCTATACCAGTGTTTCCCAACCTTTTTGAGCCACGGCACATATTTTTCATTAGAAAAATCACAAGGCACACCACCAAACAAAAATGTCACAAAAAAGTATTTTTATTGAAATATAATAAAAATCTAGTCTCAGTTTATTCAGTTTACTCACTCAGTGTGAAGCTGATATTCTTGCAGGAATTGAAGAAAGACACACACGAAGATCTTCCTCAACAGCTCTGAGTCTCTCTTTTTTCATCTTTATAGCAGTCATGTTTGAAAAGCCCACCTCGCATAGATAGATTGTGGAGAAAGGGAGCAGAACTGAAATAGCTTTGTTTGCCAGAATGGGAAACTCCTTGGCAGCAGTCAGCCAAAAACTATCCAAAAGTAGATCAGCAAAGCTCAGTTTTAGACCACAATTTTGTCTCAGTTCAGTTATTTCTTCCTGCTCCTGCAAAGTCATGTCCTTTCCAACTGCAGTTGAGCTGTATGGGTTCCTAACCCAGTCAAAGCAATCAGTGGAAAGTGAAGGGAAATAACATGACAATTCCTGCTCAAGATTTTGCAGATGTTTACCTATTGTCTCACACAGTGCAGCACTGTTGACACACTGCCATTTCTGGGTGTGTGGGAACACGTTAAGGTTGGTACTTTCCACATGTTGTTTCCAGAACTGCACCTTTAAACAAAATCCCTTTATTTTATCTGTACTTGTGAGCAGGTTTTCATTTCAGCCTTGCATTCGTGTGTTCAGGTAATTCAGATGTTATCTGCCAGATATGCCAGTCTTGCACACCACTGATCACTTGAGAGCATCTTAGTGTCATCATAATTCCATGCACAACATCTTCCAGTACAGCAACTAGGTCTGCTGGCAATGTCTTGGCAACGAGTGCTTCCCGGTGCAGAAAACAATGCGTCGCAATGACATCTGGATGTTGCTCTTTCACTCTGTCTACAAATCCTTTAGTGTGCCTTAGCATGGCAGCTGCTCCATCGGTGCAAACACTTACACAGTTTTGCCACTTCAGTCCTCCTTGTTCAAGGTACTCTGACACATCTTAAAAAATTTCCTTTCCTGTTGTTCTTTCTGGCAATTCCTTGCAAAACAGAAAGTTTTCTCTGATGATGTCTCTACCTACAAAGCACACATTTGCCATAAATTGTGCATGTCCACTGACACCCGTAGATTCATCGATTTGCAATGCAAATTTCCCACTAATGCGAAACTTTTCCAAACCTATCTTTTTCAATGTCAGCAGACATGTCTTCAATACGTCTGGAAATTGTATTATTTGATAGAGGGACTTGGGCTATTTCTAACGGCGCTAGGGCCAAGCATCTCTTTTAAGATAATTTTGCAGGCAGTATTAATGTCTCTGCTAAGGTGTGTGGCTGTTTTGATTTAGCGATGAGTGCAGCAACTTGGTAGCTAGCTTTAAGTGCTTTCTCGCTAGTCTTGGTGGTTTTCCTCATTAATGCTGCCTGTTTCTCAGTCTGTTCATGCAGTTGAACAAAATAGTCCATGTTCTTATTTTGAAGTGATGGGTGTTTTGTCTGGAGATGGCGTTTAAGTTTACTTGGAATCATGGCACTGTTTGACAATTTTTCCTTGCCCACCAGGCATAGCGGAATTGGCTTGGTTGGTTCCCCAGTATAAGTGAATCCAAAGGCAAGATAACTTCCATCCTCAGTGTGTACAGAAGCTTGATCTGTTTCTGGCGCAGGCAAGAATATCTTGGGCTGTGTCCCCCTTGATTAACCTATGGGTCAACATCCTGAGTGACTTCCTCCTCTGATAGGGACTGGATATACTGTAGCTGTAGCCTTATGTGAACTGTTTGTGTGCTCTGTTCAGGTTTAGAAAACAGAAATGTGCGTTAGGTCAGTGTGACCTAGAAGGTCATGCACTCGACATTTTTAGACAATGCTCGGAAGAAGGTGTGTGAGGAAGGAGAAGAATTAAGGATGGTGCGGCAGCCTTGAGTGAGCTCAGACCTGGCCGGGGAGACGCTGACTGACTGTGGGTTGATAGCATGTGCATAGCCAGTTAATGTGCAATTGAAATAAAGAAATAATAATAAGAAGAATATCAAGAAGGAGAGCACAAATATTGCTTATGGCCTCGCCTCCTCCAGCGCAGAATTGTGACGTCTGTTGCATTTCAATGACATAAAAATCGCATGAAATGCAGCATGGCCGTTCAGACTGAAGTCACATTGCAAAACATCGGATATGTATCCGATTTAGGACCACATATGAAAGTGGCCTGGGCCGGATTTGAAAAAAATTGGATTTGTGCTGTTCACACGGTCATAAGGAAATCGGATATGGGACACATTTGGGCAAAAAGATCGGATTTGAGTCACTTCAGCCTGCAGTGTGAACGTGGCCTTAAAGTACCAATCAGGTGAAATTGGATAATCTTTCACGGTACACCTGATGATTTCTCACATCACACTTATGTGCCGTGGCACAGTGATTGGGAAACACTGTTCTACACAACACTACCTCCTTTTACTTTTTAGGAATTTTAGATGGTACTTTTACTGTGGGCTATATCAAGAGTCTTTGAAACAGACTATGGTGCAAAATGGCAGAACACTAAATCAACTGTTTACAGATTAATATCACAAAGACCAAACTGTAATAACAAAGATTAGATTATTTTTCCAAATACTATTTTCAGAAACATATAACAGCTCTGCCAAAATCATTAAAGGGCTAAGGTATGTTAATGTGCCATTCCCATTTTTATGAAAGAAAACTGATGAAACTCCAGATGCTGGTTAATATAAGTCAACAATAGTAGCACTACATTTTAGCAGTGCAATGCATTTTAGCACAAGCGTTGAGTATAGGAGTTCTCACCATCTTCTGCTAGCAGGACAAATTGTTAGAGCTTTCACTTACGTAAAGGTAGCAGCAACCATAGTATACCAACTTTCTATTACATGTAAAACTCCTGGATACAGAATATCACTGAAGTAACAGTATATAAAGTATTAAAAGCAAGAGTACTTGTTATGCAGAATGGCTCATTTCAAAATCACTTACTGTATATTATATGGTTGGATTAAAGTAAAGTACAAGTACCTCAGAACTGTACTTAAGCACAATACTTGAGTAAATGTGCTTAGTTACTTTCCACTATTGCCAGCATCTTTACTTATTTTAATTTACTTTAATTTATTTGTTTATATATTGCTTTACAACACTCAGTGTTTCACAACAAAACATAAAAATACACATTCATTATTCATTCATAATTAACATTCTAGACATGACACCTATAAATTAATGAGCCTTTCTACTCTTTATCTACACTGTAAAGATATTGTGTCTATTGCTAAAAACCATTCATTCTTTTTAGTAGTATTTTACACACATGGCTCTCAGGAGAGCACAGAGGCAGACCTAGAGTAGAGGGGGCCTCCTGCATTTCTTTTTCTAGACGCTCCCTCAAAGGCACAGACATATAGACCGGAGCCAGCACAACAGTCAAATAAAATATATAAACTGTAGTATTACAAACATTAAAAGAGTGTACTGTCATATATAAAGTATCTTGGGCCGGCATGATGCATGAACATGATATCTGTATCAGTGCATTTAGCTTACAGTGCAGATATGCTCAGAGGAATCTGCACATCTTTCTTCTATGTGTTAAAATGCTTTTAAAACACAAAATATATACTGTAACTCTAAGCTGAAAATGTACACAACAAAGATCATCTACCATAATTTCGACATCATCTGTGTGGGAGGGTAAATGCTTTACCTCTTTACCTGAATAAAGTAAGGAATTTAATGTTTTCCAATTATGTATTAACTTATTATGTTAACATAAAAATGTTATTACAGTGTTTTATGGGATTTAGTGTGTATCCTGCATGAGGAAATGAGAGTTTAAGATGGGTTTAACCCATTTGAAATGGTCTGCTTGGCCCCATTTTGCCTGGGAGGGGGAATCAATTCAAGAAAATTAACTGCATTCATTGTGAAGATGAAATCCTGTGTGTTCAGTAGTGTTAGTCTCTTCCATGGTACACCTTTACATCACCCATTGACATTCCATTTATACAATCTAATGGAACTTTTGTCTTATTGCCAAACAATATCACACCCTATATTTCTTTGTGCTCATTTAACATTTGATTCCAATCCATTCATTTTCAATTTGAGCAGCTGCTGTATCTCAGTTTGTTGTCTTAGGTGCAGTCTAGCACAACAGCCATAAACAAACCATTTAGTATTCTCCATTGCAGCACTTTGCAGGTTTATCACCGAATGATGCAGCACCTCTGAATTGCTCCACACTTCTCCCATACTCAGTGGACACACCATTTATTTCTTGAGCAACGTGTTTTGGGACAATTTGGTTTGACTGAGCATTTTCAAAAAGGTCTCTGGTTAATGAAAACTTCATCAAGCTGCTGTAAGTTACATATTTTTTTTAAAAAAAGGGTAAACACTGAGACTTTTTAATGACTATCTCATTCCCCTCCCTCACTTTGCAGCCAACCGCCCGAAAAGCCTTCTGGTGTACATCAATCCCTATGGGGGAAAGCAGCGTGGGAAGCGTATTTACGAGCAGAAGGTGGCTCCACTGTTTCACCGTGCCTGCATCTCGGCTGACGTGATTGGTGGGTCCCTATCAGTAGCATTCTTCAGCATTTAAATAAAAAATGAGTCTCGATGGCCACCATATAGATCTCCGCTGCCACCGTGGCCTCTTGTAGAGAAGAAGGTTTGCAACAATATGATTTGTCTTATAGTGCCATTAATCTCACCAGCACCTTAATGGAAGCTGTGATAGTTGATAAGCTTGGGTATCCAAACACATCTATTATTCAGTAAGTGTTTACTACAGCTACACATAGTCTGGAGTATTGATCATCTATCAAAGTGAATACTACTCACTCTGGGCTTCCTGCAGGATGTATTTTGCCTGGTAAACAGATTTACTGTTGAAATATTGCTTTTGTTTCCTAATGTACAATAGCTGAATTAGTTTTTTTGTTCCACTGTGCCTTTACTTTTCTCTCAACATTAATCTGCACGATGAATTCCAGCGAATCTTTCTATAGTGCAGCGGTTTTTTATTTTAGGTCTTACAGGGCTGGCCTAAGCCTTTACGGGCCCTAAGCTAAATTTGATTTGGGGACCCTCCATTGCTTCTGCACTGCCAATACTAATAACTATTGTCAATGCTTGATCTTTTGAACAACTGTAAATCTAACACACCCATTAATAATGTTACTAACTGTAACTGTTTGCTTAGACTACATCATATAGCGTCACCCTGGCATGTTTGTACCCTTATCTTTTAATCTAAAAGATAGCAAGCTCACAAGAGTGAACCTAACTGCTAAATACTGTGGTATACAGAATGTGGTGTACTGAAAAGTAACAAAATAAACCAGCATACAATCAGGAAATAGTAATTCAAACATACCTTTATCTTGATGTTTTTTTTCTCCTTTGTTTTTTCTTCATTTGTTTCTGTGCTTGAGAGGGATATGCCCTTTCTTTAACATTACTTTTTAGTTGCTTTTACCATGTAACCTAATGTTAGGGTCTGACTGAGAGTCCTTGCATCAAAATGCAGTTAATGGCCATTACAGTGCACATATTCATAAATGTGGGACATGTCATGCACTCTTGGGAGCCCTCTGGTGGCCACAGGGGCCCTAAACAGATGATAAGTTCGCTTGTGCCTCAGGTCAGCTCTGTTGTCTTGCATTTTAAAACACCAGTAATAGCATGTTTGTTGTACTAGTCAAGCCTCAAAGAGTCTGATCATTTTGTGCGTATATTTCTTTTCATCCAACATGTACTAATACTTGTTATTTGATTTGTTTCCAAAGTTACTGAGCATGCCAATCATGCCAGGGACCACTTAAAAACGGAGGCAAGTCTAGAGAAATATGATGGGTGAGTATTCAAAGTAGCTGGCTTCAACATTGGTTCTTCACTGTGACATGAAATTGTAATGCTGTAAACTGTGCTGTGTCCATTTGTAATCACTTAGATAGAGCCATGTTTCTCACACATAACAACCAGCATCATCCTTTATCTCAGGCACTGTCCTGCATTTTCTGCTACAAAGTTGTTTTTTTTCTGCAACCAGTCATACTTGGCAAGTGATTTTTGGTTAGTGCTTCTCTTTTTATATTAGGATTTCACAATATTTGGCAGATAAACATGCAGGCTGTGTAACAGATGAAAATGGACAGTTTACAAAGTGCTTGACAAAAGCCATAAAACCAAGAGGTGATTAGGGCAATAAAATACAGTATAAATAATTGGATTCAAATAACAAACAATTGAACTGTTGAACTAAAAAGAGCAAATGCAGTAAAATCACAGAATAAAAACAATTTAAGAAAATACTTTTCTAAGATAATACATTTTAAGAGAGATATCAGTGAAGATAAAGGCCTTGTTTGATGTCCCTCAACAGGTCAAGACCTACTGAAAGTTTCTGAATCTCAGGCTGCATTTCAGAAGAATAGTTAGGGTCCAGCTCCATAATGTGCCTTAAAGGCATATGGAGTTGTCCTATGACTGATATGATGCTTTTGAAATATTTCATACAACACAGAGAAAATTTTAAGGAACCAAGGACTGATCTCTGTGGTACTCTGTTAGTTGTCAGTGCCTTAAAATCCAATTTAAATGATTTTGAGATCAAAACAGGGACCCAAAGTGAGGACTAACTGATTAGTCTGGACCTATTATAACTTCTAATATAGGGAATTTCTGAACAAATGTCAGAGATAGTTTTCATTAGACAGACATATTTTGCTCAGTTGCATGATATCACTGGCATCAAAAGAGAAGTATATTGGAAACTGTAACAGTGCTTTTGAAATATTTGCTCTGAAGGTAGCTTGTAGACAGACAATAGTACTACTTGAAATAGTGGAGGATTTACAGTCCCCTTCAGTCATGCAAAACGTCATTATAGAGAGATAGGAATTAAACCCTGGCTGCCCAGTGCTAAAGAAGTTCAATTACTATAGCTGATTCTGTTTTCTAAAGTCACTCACAATCACTGTATAATACATTTAAATCAACAAATCACTTACATAAGTAAATTTTATGTTTCCAGCTTAAATTGTACATGCTGCTGCAGCTCAGGGCTGTGAATACAGGAATCATGTGAGGGTAAACTGCAGCTGATAGTTGAGCATAAAGGGTATCAATAACGTGAAAGATTTTTCCT